GGGGCCGCGTGCGTGTGGCACTTGGGGTCCTTCTGTGCACACGTCCCCACCCCTTGCCTTGCCAGTCTGTCGCTTTGGTGGGCAGAAGCAGCTCAGGGACAGTGACCCCGCGGGCCCTGTCCGGCTTCCTTTCCCCTCCCCTGCCCCTGGGCCTGAGTGGCCGCCCAGTCACCTGATGTGTCCCCTCGCGACGATGCGGAGCAGCTCCACAGAGACCTGCTGACAGAGAGCTCGGCCTGGTCATTGTCCATTCTTGTCCCTGAGAACAAGGGCCACGGCCCCGTCACACCCCCGACCCCAAAGGCACCCTTTACTGCCAGGCGGCACTGGTGACCGGGTGACGACGAGGCCCGGGGAAGTGGTGTGTCCCAAACCAGGTCTGCAGACAGGACTCCGCTTGGGACTTCAGCAAAAAACACCAAAGAGGTCCAGGGGACAATGGCCGCTGTTGGGACTTCCATGTATTCTGTGCCCAGACCTGCCACCGTCCAACCTAGGTCTTCCTCTGTTACCTCCCTCCTTCCCTTGTCCCCTCCTGTCCCAACAAGGAGGTGTCTAAGATTTAAAAAAAAACTCCCGAGCCATCAACCTTTCAGACTGTCACAAAGAACACCCTGCACTCTGTCACATGAGGTTAATTCAGAGCAAGAAGGGTGTCACATTGGGGGAGGGTACCACGGGACATTGGGGGAGCTTAGATGCTTCTGGAATCAGTGTTCAAAACTGCGCTGCCTGCTGCAGGGGGACGCGCCTGTCATCCCAGTGGCTCTGGAGGCTGAGGCAGGAGGATCGAGACTTGGAGGCCAGCCTCAGCAACAGCGAGGCCCTAAGCCACTCCGAGAGACCCTGTCTCTCAATAAAATGCAAAATAGGGCTGGGGACGGGGCTCCGTGGTCAAGGGCCCCTGAGTTCAATCCCTGGTCCCAAAAAAGAAAAGAAATTAGTGTTTTTAGCAAAAGAGTTTGTTGTCCCTCTGCGAGGACCTAGGAGGCTGAGCAGGTGCAGGGCAGCATTTCTTTTCTGAAAATCCTGGCACCACAAACCACCTGTTCACCTGGAGCTGCTCTTGACGTTGGAAGTCACTCATGAAACGGTGGCAAGCCTCGCAAGTAAAGGGCTCCTCCACGGCGACCCCAGGACACCCACCCTGGCCTCGGCTGCTGTCCCTGGGGGTGTGTGTGGCTTCTGGGCACCCTGCGCCTGCTGGGCTCGGCTCTGCTGCCCGACTCACCCCACTGGGTCCACGTGACCTCAGAGTGTCCCTGTGCGCTGTGTGTCGCAACCTTCGCATCTTAACAGCCTTCGTCCGTCCTCATCTTGGTCACAGTGACAGCTGCTCGGTCCTTGCTGGGGGTGGTTGTCTGCGACAGAATGTCCTGTTGGGGGATCGGGGTCAGGACCTGAGCCCTGTGACTGTCCTGGTTCTGAGCTCCCCGGGCTGTCGACTGGGGATCCGTGGTAAAGACAGGTGGCACCAGAGGTGACGTGTCTGCATTTAGAATTGAGACAGGTCACTTCCACTTAGTCCATGGGCCGACTCTCTCCGTGGACCCTGGAGGACGGTCAGGGCCAGACGCCTGTAGTTGGCGGAGAGCTAAACGGGGACCCTGGGGGTCTGCCTTGTGCCCTTTCCTTCTCGTGAGTTTTAACGGTCGGCTTTAGGATGGTTCCTAAACAGCAAAACAGCGTGAGAATAATCGGGAAGCTTTGGAAAAGCACCACGGAATTTGTATCATCTTGGTTATTTTTGATAAAGTTTGTGAAATAAATGAATCTTTTGCTGTTACCCTCTTTGGGGTTTTGAAGTTGGTGGCTCCTTTCCAGTGGTGGTCACTTTGCGTTTGTTCGACAATCCCACCACCAGGTTTTACGGAGCAGTGTGGGTTTCTAGAAGTCAGTTCCAAGTGGCTCTGAGTGGCTGAACTGGTCTCAGGTCTTTTAAAAAGAGCGACTCAAGATGCCCCGCACTGTCACCCACCTGCTCTGTCTTGTTTAAAGTGAATGACTCCTGCTTCACCGTCTTCAGAATGTGCTAGAAGCGGTAGGGGAGTGGACAGTCCAGACGGCGCTGGCTTTGGGTCCCGCACACACAGACCTGAGTTTGGGTTCCCAAGTCAGCCACTGAGTGGCCCTGAGGTTGGGCAACTCAAGTCTCTGGGTCTCAGTTTTCTCATCTGCAAAATTAGGACAAAGACTTGACTTTTTTTGGGGGGGAGGGGTATACTGAGAATTGAACCCAGGGGTACTTGACCATGAACCCTGTCCCCAGCCCTTTCTTATATTTTATTTAGAGACAGGGTCTCACCAAGTTGCTTAGAGCATTGCTAAGTAGCTGAGGCTGGCCTCCACCTTGCGATCCTCCCGCCTCAGCCTCCAGAGCCACTGGCATGACAGGTGTGGACCACCCTGCTTCCCTCCATTGCCACGCCTCCGCGTAGCTGCCTGAATGGGTTATTTCTCCAAAGACATGCAACACCCTTGTCATAAATCCTCAGAAAACAAGTGGCTTACCTCCAGGCGGCTCAGCAGACTGGTGCAGGGTGACAACGCGGTTTCCATGGCGACCTGGTCTGTGGCCAAGCCGGGCTCCCTGCCTGTGAGTCAGGCCCCAGCGTGTGGCCTGTTTTCTTGGATGAGGGTGAGTCAACACTTGGAGGGGGGAGCTCCCGTGTCCTCTCGTGGGCACAGCCAAGAGAGAGACGAACCCCACATGGGACCAGACCCTGGCTGAGCAGAGGCTGGCCTCCAGGGAGTCCCACGTGCCCAGAGACCACTGTGTCTGGGTGCCGTCAGCTGGTGGGAGATTGGAAACACAACGTGGAGCCACGTGTTTTTAGATAAATGCTTTATTTCTTTCTGAAATGTTTATAAAAGTGATTTCTCCTGAACGTCCTCAGCACAAGCAGCTTCGCCAGTTCATCCAGCTGTGGGGGCGCCCAGCCGAGCGCCAGCCTGCGTGACGCGTGGTCCCTTGACCCTCCATTCGCGTTTCCGTTTCTTTCCTGACCTGAGCTCTGTGTTCAAGTCTTCTGTCATCAGAAAATGGGACTTCAGAACAACAGACCCCAAATGCCATCATGGGTGGGGGCCTGCAGTCCCTTGTCCCCTGCTCTCCACTGAGCCAGCCTGAGCGGGGGAGGGAGAGGCCCACAGGGAGCAGCCCCTCCGCAGGGGACAGAAGGACAGCACAGTGTCCCCCAGAGGACACCTGGGGGAAAGGGTGGCTGCGTTCCTAAGGGGACATCCGCTCGGGGACCGCAGTGTTTCTGCATTTTTAAAAAGGCCACATTTCCAAAGGTGGGGGGGCAGGTGGGGACTCGGGGGTGTCTCCTGGGAAGGCCCCACAGCTCAGAGAGGGGTTGGCACCAAAGAGCTGTGACAGTCACCCAGGGGTGTGACGGGGTTC